GAGAGAGAATTTTTTAATATTTATTTTTCAGTTTTTGGCGGACACAACATCTTTGTTGGTATGTGGTGCTGAGGATCGAACCCGGCCGCACGCATGCCAGGCGAGCGCGCTACCGCTGAGCCACATCCCCAGCCCCGTCATTTTACTTCTAAATGTATTAGATAATGACTAGAAAGACCATCAAAAGGTGAAGTATAGTGTTACTATGTAACTTTTGGGGAAAGTTTTCTAAAACACCTGCACCATTTTATATGCCCACCAGCAGTATGATAGTTTTAATTTCTCCACGTCCTCCCCAACACTCGTTATTGTCTTTTTCTTATTACAATCATATTAGTGAGTGTGAAATGTTATGAAGAGTTTATAGAGGACCCAGATTCACCCCCTCCATCACCACCAGGGATGGAACCCAGCCACCACACCCAGCCAGGATCCACTTTTCTGATCATAATCCATTAAATTTTCAAATAGGAAGATCAAATAAAGTTAACTATTTGACAAGACATTTCCCTCAAAAGTGCTCTGGGAATAGAGTGAATGACCAGGAGCTGTAGGAAGCAGTCTTCCTAATAAAAGGCTGAGGTGGCTCCTGGTTCCTGTTGGAGGACCGGACTGGTTTGAATAATTCTGCAGGCTAGAGGGAATGGAGACCTGCTACTCAGTCATAAGCAGGAACCAACTTGTTTGCTTAGGCCCTTATCAATGGGAGCACAGTGGGGTAGGGAATGTGCTGTCATCCAAGGACTTCCTTACTGGTTTCAGATGTCAAGGCAGAACATAACACTGGGCTTGAATTTTAGCTCTTACACCACAACCACAGATGCTTCCAGAGACAGACAGACCCAGGTCAAATCCCAGCTCGCCAATCATGGGGTCAGCTCTGGCAGTGGAGAGTGTTTCTGGGCCCCAAGTGGGCTTAACCAGAGCCCAGGAAGTGAAGAGTCTTGGAGGAAGACCTGGGTGGGGAGAAGCAAAGGCTCATGGAGTCATCATGAAGATCAGATGAATTACAGGGGACCTGGTAGAGGAGTAGCAGCTTGAGTTGGTATGGAAAAGCACCCTCCCTGGAGAGGCACCACTTCAGGCCTGGCCTGGCCTAGTTTCTCATGAGATGATGTAGATTCTACAACCCACTCTGGAGGCTGACAGTGCTGCTGAGTTAGCTAAGGCCCATGCAGTGGATAAATGACTGAAGAAAAGAAGTGAAGACATGAATGGATCAACTGCATGGAAATCAAACCAGGTATACAAAGTGACACACAGGGTGGCACATATGAGCCACTGTGGGCTCCATTGACATACACTAATTACCTTCTGTCCACAGAATTGAAAAGGAAATAATGAGAGTCCACAGTGTTAAACTGTTGGGAACTCTTGGGGATGCAAAGTAAACTGACCCCAAGCAAGTGTGGAACACACTTTCATGTGCCCATCAAGAACTTAAAAATCTGGGGCTGAGATAGTGGCTCAGTGGTGCAGCACTCACCTAGCACAGGCGGGACCCAGGTTCGATCCTCAGCACCACATAAAAATAAAGGCATTGTGTTGTGTCCATCTACACCTAAAAAATAAATATTAAAAAAAAAAAAAGAACTTAAAAATCCCTGGCTGGGGTTGTAGCTCAGTGGTAGAGCGCTTGCCTAACACATGTGAGGTACTGGAATCGATCCTCAGCACCACACATAAATAAATAAATAAATAAAGGTACCGTGTTCATCTACAACCAAAAAAAAAAAAAAAAAGAATCAAAAATCCCAGCCAACTCCAGCCCAATTTTCTAGATTTTTAAATTTAAAAAACTTTTTAAATTTGAGAAGTCAGTATTAAACATTAATCTATTAATGTATGCATGCTCTTTGACTTACACTAATACTACAGATAATATAGAAAAATAATATATTTTAGTAAATTATATTTAATTTCACCCAGATGAACAATATTCAGTAAATGCCTTGTTTTAAAAAGCATTTCTCAGCTAAGTACAATGGTGCATGCCTGGAATCCCAACAGCTCAAGAGACTGAGGCAGGAAGATCATGAGTTCAAAGCCAGCCTCAGCAACTTAGGCCGTAAGCAACTTAGTGAGACCCTGTCTCAAAATAAAACTTAAAAACAGCTGGGGATGTGGCGCAGTGGTTAAGCGCCCCTGGGTTCAATCCCCAGGACCAAAAATCAAAACCAAAAAAGCATTTCTTGATTCAAAGTCATCTGAAACTGTTCTATATTATATTCTAGATGTTTTAATTTTCTTTCTGTATTCAGATCTTTAACCTATCTGTAATGTCTGTCTGTGATGTGAAATAGGAATTTGTTGAGAGCCGTTCRTGGGCTCATTGCAGCCTAGTGAATGGGATTATCTGGTGTCTGGGAACTTCCAGTGGACATTTCCTCTGTGTAAGACTGCCTAGATGCACTGTGAGCCTTATTCTGCTCTGCCTGGTCCCACACGGCACCAGAGATGGGGTGACCTGCTAACCACCCAGCCTCACAACCCCTCTGAGATGGGTGTAACCTGCCAAGATGCAATCAACCTGCTGAATGCAAGACATCAAGAAGCAAGACTCCACCCTTGAAACCTTATCCCTGCCTTTTCTCTACCCCCTTAAATAAGCCACAGGAGTCCAGCTCTTGTATGGACTGGACCTATCAGGGGCTCCAACTTTGAAAAAAATCTTTCTGACTTTGTCTTTTGTTCTTCACTAATTATTCCAGACTTTAATTTCTAAGGAGACTTATCCCTCTGAGCAGACAAGAATTCCCTGGCAAGGTGCTGGCCAGCCCAAGACAGGAATCTAATTTTATTTCATTTCATATAAGTAACCAAGAACTCATTTTCTATTGACAGTGATGAAGAAAAGGAAGAGAAGGTACCACAGCCTTAGAAAAGCCCAGATTGAGATCAGAACATGGGATAAATGTTTCTTGAGCCCAAAACTGAACCCAAAGCCCAACTGGTTGACAGTCTGTCCTACTTTGGAAACTGAGTTGAACTGGGTTTTTTAGACATCTTTAAACATCTCTCATTTTCTGCCACTGTTGCTGTTGCTGTCGAGGATTCAACGTCTATGGGCTCTTCACAGRTACTGCTTGATGGAGCCATTGTGCTCTTCCCATCAATTCACTTTTGTTAAAATCCTCTTATTGGGGCAGARGGGTGGGAGGGAATGGGAGGGGTCAGGGGATTAGCAAGGATGGTAAAATGTGATGGACAACATCATCCTAAGTACATGTATGAAGACACCGAATTGGGTGTCAACCTATTTTATATATAAACAGAGATATGAAAAATTGGGTATATATGTATAATAAGAATTGTAATGCATTCCACTGTCATTTATTTTTAAAAAATCAATAAAAAAATTTTAAAAGAGGGAAAAAATATCCCAGCCAGGTGGTGGCACATACCTATAATCCCAGCAGCTGGGAAGGCTGAGAGAGTTCAAAGCTAGTCACAGCAACTTAGCAAGGCCCTAAGCAACCAAGTGAGACCCTGCCTCTAAACACAAAAATGGACTGGGGATGTTGCCCAGTAGTTAAGTACCCCTGGGTTCAATCCCTGGTATCAAAAAAAAAAAAAAAATTAGAATTCCATGTTCCATCATCTGACCTTGAAATGGGAGACGGAAGCATCCAAGTGGGCCCAAAGTCATCACAAAGGTCCTCCTTATAAGTGGAAGACGGGCAGAAGAGTGGCAGTGATGTAATGTGAAAAGACTTGACTGGCTACTGCTGTCACTGAAAATGAAGGAGGAGGCCGTGAGTCAAGAATTCAGGACACCTCTAGAAGGTGGATTCTCGCCCAGATTCTGCAGGAGGAACTAGCAGCCCTGTTGATAAACGGATTTTGTTCRCTGAGACATGTCTCAGAGTTCTGACCTTAAAAACCACACATAGAATAAATGCTAAAAACCAACATAGGATAAAGCTACAGTGTTTCATGCCACTGAGTTCGTTGGAGCAGTTATTAGGAAACCGATACTGCAAGTCCTGAGTGACTGTCCAGAAAGCCAGACAGATCTCCCGGGGCAGTGGGATCCTCTGCCTTTCTGCTGCATGACCAACTAAGGATGGGAGGATGCAGCCCTGGCGTGAAGGTTTGCATGGCCTCAGAGACACCTGTCACCCTTCAGAGGTCACTCTTGTCCATCTATGCTTTGAAAAGAAGTGCCCTGTCTACCCAAACCCAGGCTCAAGAGTTTAAAGGCTGGTGGCCAAGGATGAAAGTAGGCGGGGGGATCTGGGGCTGTGACCGTAGGGTTGGCAATTCTAGGATTTGCCCTGAGCCTCCAGCTGCCAGGCAGATTGCTGATCTGACCAACAGAAGTGAGAAATCAGGTTCTTATTCAGAAACTTACCTGCTAAAAACAYATGATTTATGTTAAGGGTGTAACGTGCACATGGAGGCCCAGGGGTCTCACACAGCAGGACAGACATCAGCCGTGCTTTTCTGAGCTTACTGCCACCTTCCACAGGGACTTCTGTAGGAAGGGGCAGCAAGGCAGTTTTTGAGCAAGAGGTCCCAGGAGGAGGGCGTGTCCTGGGCTTTTATACCTCAGGTAGGGAGGCCTGGTGATCACCCCACAGTCACCACTCAGCTTGGATTCCAACCCAGGCCTCCTCTAGAAGGCAGGGCAGGAAGAACAGAGCAGCTTTCCCGCACTCCCAGGTGGACTTTTGGGGGCAGGTCCAGAGTTCCTTACTGTCCCCCTGAGTCTCCAGTAGGCTGGAGTTGGCCCCCAGGGTGCTCTATCTAGGCCCAGAGGCCCACAGGTGCCCCCCCTCTACCGCCCCCCAGGAGGGCAGCCCTCCTGCTCAAGGGGCCTCAGGCCGGTGGCTCTTCCTGTGGATGACCAACTGGGACTTCCAGTCGAAGCTGCGGCCGCAGTCACTACAAAAGTGGCGCTGCTGGCCAGCATGACTCTTCCGGTGGATGACCAGCTGCGACTTCCAGCTGAAGCTACGCCCACATTCCTCACAGGTATAGCTCCGAGGCCCCACCGGGCGCCGTGGGGGTCGTGCCACTGGCTCCCGGGGTGCCTGTGGTGGCCTCTCGGGACAGGGGCCTCCTGCATGAGAGCGGTGGTGGATGACGAACACGGACTTCCAGTCGAAGCCCCTGCCACACTGCGGGCACACGTAGGGCTTCGGCTGCGCGGGGGAGAACGGGAGTGGCAGTGCTGGTGGCGGGGATGTGCAGACCTGGCTGCGCCCAGGAGTGTCTACCTCAGCCCCGACTTCTGGGTGGTTCAGGCTGCGCTCGCCTGGGCAGCGGCTCTCACCAACCTCGGGTCCGGAGCATGGTGTCCCCAGCTCGGGCTCACGGTCAGGCTCTGACTTGGATTCAGCCCGCTCTTTGGCTGGCGGGGGTGGCAGCCCTGCTGGGGTGGGCAACGAACGATCAGGTGGGAGATCACCCGAGGCCCCGGGTGGGTACCTTCTGGAAGGGGGAAGGCTGTGACTGGGCCCTGGGAGGCCTGTGCGAAAGCCCAGGCAAGCAGCCTGCACCCAAGCCCAGGCGGGAAGGGACCGGTGGTCCTCACCCAGCGAGACCACCGTGCCGTACTTCTCCAGCATCGCGTCCCAGTACAGCTCCTTCTGTGACGGGTCCAGCAGCCCCCACTCCTCCTGCAGGATGAGGATGCAGCTCATCATTGTGGTCCCACCCCAGCCTGCTAGTGTTGCATCCTTACCTATTACCTGGGGAAGGCTACCTAAGCTTCATCTATGGCTGGATAAGGCACAAGCCAAGAAGGGGCTTGTGAATGTTGGGTCCTCCTTCAGATCATCTGGCCAGCCTGCCAGTACTCACCTGTCTTAGCTGCCCACCCATTGTTCTGGTCAGAGATTGAAACAGGGTGGGATCAGGTTAAGCTTTGTAAAGACCATTATGGCTGCCCCCAACCTTTGCCCTTTCAAGTATCTTAACAGGGTGCTAAAGGGAGCAAGAGACCCAGGGACTGCTGGGGACTCAGCCACCTGCCAAGCCTCTAACTACAGGAGTCTTCAAAGGCTGGGAGCATTTCAGCACATGGAAATGAGGCTGTGGGGAGGAAAGAGGATCCAGGATCCTGACTGCACCCTGGGATGTGAACAGGGGACGCAGGAGTGGCAGYGGAGAAAGCTCAGAGTGTGGGGAGGCTGGGAATATAGCTCAGCTGATACAATGCTTGACTTGCAAGTACAAGGCCCTGGGTTTAATCTCCAGCACCACCACCCCCCCCCCAAAAAAAAAAGAAAGAGTGTGGGTGCCAGTTAGCTCCTGTGTGCTGCTTCTGGCAAGACCCTGAGAGAGGATGAACCTGGCATGTGGCAGAGGCCCCAATGGCTTTACTGAGAAATATACTTCCTGCCTTTGAGTCCTGCCATCTGGGGCTTTGCTGGGTTGGGAAAAATAATCCTGAGAGACAAGCCAAAGCAAGTCTGGGAGTAGGGAGCTGGCCATATATAACCAAGATAGAGATGGTAAAGGCTGGAAGTGATGATCCCATGGAGCCTGCAACCTTTCCACTCAGCCTAAGATTTCTAACCATGGAAGGAACCTGGAATCTCAGCCTCAAAGCACACCTCACCAACAATTCTGCTGAGAAAGCTCCCAACTAGAGTGGGATAGAAGCAAAAGAACTCTACGAACTTGGGAACTTGGTGCTCAAGATGACAGGAGCTTTGAATTAAGCTTCTAGGCCCAGCTGATTGCCTTTTTTTTTTTTATTTTTTAATATTTATTTTTTAGTTTTCGGTGGACACAACATCTTTATTTTATTTTTATGTGGTGCTGAGGATTGAACCCAGCGCCCCGAGCATGCCAGGTGAGCGCGTTACTGCTTGAGCCACCTCCCCAGCCCCCAGCTGATTGCCTTTTGAGAAAACCCTACAAGAGAAGGGACTTTCGGCATCTCCCAGGAAGAGTGTTTGTTCTGACCCCAAGTGCTGGAGTCCTGCCAGTGTGTCACTGGTTCCTCCCAACCTGCACACACAAGTTTAAGTCTCCAAGTTCTGGCCCTAGACCTCTAGGAGCTGCAAATCTCCCCAGTGACTTCTCTGAGGTGAAAAAGGCAAGCCCACCAGTTCTGGTCACTTCTGACTAGGTTTCCATGATCTGAGGCTCAAATTTTCCAATAATAGAGGCCAACAGTCTGTTCCTCTACCCCTGGGATTTCTGGGGCACCCATTACTTACTCCACTTTTGGGCAGTAAAGAGCTTAAGAACCAGGTGCAGTGGTGCACACCTGTAATCCCATCAGCTCAGAGGCCGAGGCAGGAGGACTGAGGTCAGAGGCAGCCTTAGCAACTTGTGAGACCCTAAGTAACTCAGTGAGACCCTATCTCTAAATAAAATATAAAAAGGACTGGGGAGGGCTGGGATTGTAGCTCAGTGGCCAAGCGGTTGCCTCGCATGTATGAGGTACTGGGTTTGAACCTCAGCAGCACATAAAAATAAATAAATAAAAGTATTGTGTCCATCTACAACTAAAAAAGCTTTTTTTTAAAAAAAGGGCTGGGGTTGTGGCTCTGTGGCAAAGCGCCCCTAGGTTCAATCCCTGGTACAAAAAATAAAAACAAAAACCAAAAACAAAGTACAAGAGCAACTGGCCAAGACTGGAAAAACCACAGGGCAGAGGCATGCACCAGGGATATTTCCCTCCCATACTTGGGACCTGTACTTTCCACTGGGGACTGCTCACCTGAATCCTGGGTGGGTGGAAGGAAGTGGAGGCTGTGTCCTGGTGTCTAAGATGCCCCTTGGGAGACTGGGTTGGAAGCAGTGGACTGGGAGGTGCTGAAAAGTAAGGTAGATGGGAATGGGTGTCAGGAGTTACCCACACAAGCCAGGCTGGAGGAGGATCTGGTGTGACTGCCAAAGTTTTGGTCCACCTCTGCCCTATGTATGGCCTGTCTTTTGATTCCCAGATCTTCTCCAGGGCTTCCATCTCAGCCAAGGACATCCACCCTCATTTCCAGAGTCTAAGCCCTGGCATAAGAAGTCTCCTGAGGAGCCAGATATTGTGGTATATTCCTATAATCCCAGCGGCTCTGGAGGCCAGGGGAGGACTGCAAGTTCAAAGTCAGTGCCAGCAATTTAGCGAGGTCCTAATAACTTAGCAAGACCCAATCTCAAAATAAATTTTTTTAAAAAAGGAACTAGGGATGTGGCCCAAAGGTTAAGCGCCCATGGGTTCAATCCCTAGTACCAAAAAAAAAAAAAAAACAAAAAAAAAAAACAAGCTGCCTGGGACTCCCCTCCAGGGATGTGCACACCCTTTCCACAAGCTCCACAGTCTTGGTGGCACTCTCCCTCACCCACATGCTGCCCATCAGCACTGGGCTCCTCCTTCACACTGCAGCTGAGCTGGGCAGACCCTTCCATGCTGGCATTATGTGGACCCTCTGCAGGGGCTGCCCCAGAGAACTCCACTGTTGCTGAGGGGCAGGGGCTGGCTGAGGACTCCTCTGTCTTCTGGGCTGCAGGAAGCACCTCTGGCCTCAGGATGTGGGCTGTGATCTGAGAAAAAGAGGTAAGTCACAGGGGCTCTATGTTTGATCTGTCCTTAGAAGTTAATGACACCACACTTACCCAGCCCAACAGCTGCCCAGGGTCGTGCTGTAGCCCTTCAACTAGAGCTACCGCTTCCTCAGGGCTGCCTGGTCGCTGCCCTTGCACCCAGGACTGGATCTCAGGGGGCAGTGTGCCCACAAACTGTTCCAGCACCAACAGCTCTAACATCTGTTCCTTGGAACATGACTCGGGCCGCAGCCATTGGCGACACAGCTCTCTCAGCCGGGTCAGGGCCTCTCTGGGCCCTGCCACCTCTTTGTAGCAGAATCCACGGAATTTCAGTCGTGCAGCCTCAGGCTCCTCAAGGGTGGTCTCAAGATTACTGAGGGACTGGTGTGGGGACCCCAGTGGGGATGGCATTCTCCTTTCAGAGAGTCTTTTTGGAATCACCCAGAGGGACCTACAGAAAAGGAGGGATCAAAGTGTTATTCAAGAGGGCCTGGCTAAGAAGAGACAGATACAAGGCCCAGCCCAGGAGCCAAGGCCAGGGCAGAGGAGACCCTGAGACCAAGGGTGGGTGAGGGGTGGGGGCTCCAGGAAAGCCTCATGGAAGGAGAAGGTCATAGGAGCTGAGATCAGGAGGATGCCTGGGGGATAAACGCCTGGATGGAAGGAGCCCAGGAAGCTGCCAGGAAAGTGGAAAACAGTTCGATCAAATACAGGTAAGACAAGAGCAGTGGTCCACACCGGTTATCCCAGCGACTTGGGAGGCTCAGGCAGGACTGCAAGTTCGAGGCCAGCCTTGGCAATTTAGTGAGCTCCTGTCTCAAAGCAAACAACCACCACCAAAAAACAAAACAGCAACAGAAAACCCAACACCTGGGCATAACAGACAGGAAAGTGGCTCCCCCAGCCCAGAAGTGAACGGTCAATCGACCAGCTGGTCCTGGGGGACTGGGGGCCCTGAGTGTGGGAGGTCGGGCTTTGTGTCTGTCCTCATGGTCTCTGGGATTTGCCGCCTGAAGAGCTGGCTCTGGGGACCGGGCCTGTCCTCGCCAGGAGACAGTCGAAGCAGGTGCAATACTAGGGGCACTCCCGAGTGCGGACACGGGTTCCCAGACACTGTGCTTGCTGACCACTGCGAACCGCAGAGGCCTCCAACAGGCTGGGCCCACGCGAGTAAAACCCCGAAGCAGAAGSTAAACAGAACGGAGCTGCGCGGGGCGTGCGACTGCGGGCTCGGCCCTGAAGAGGTTCTAGGGGGAAACATGCCCACCTGGGGGTCTGTCAGGCCTGTCCTACCCGAGAGACCCTCGGATTTGGGGTCTGCGCCCCGTTACGGGAGGGGAAGGAGCCGATCTTTCAGGAGAACCGGGTTCGGGCCTGGGCGCCGGGGACGGCGTTCTGGGTGACAGAAAGCCCGGACACGGGCGGCGGGCGGCGGGCGGCGGGAGTTCCGCCGCCGCGGGGCAGGACCGGCGCGCGCCCCCGCGGTGGAGGACGCCGCGCCCCGSCAGTCAGCACCGCGCTCACCTCGGCAGCCGCTCCGGGCCGGCGGCCACTTCCCGGAAGTGGCGCGCACACACCCGCTCGCCCCGCCCGCGCGCGGCCCTGGCGACCCCAGCCCGGCCAATCCCGCGCCGGCCCTTCAGGCACCCCCTGCTCCCCGAGGACTACGTTTCCCATGAGCCTCGTGAGCCCAGCAGCGCCTTTTCAAACTCCTGGCGACTGGATGGCATCCTTTCCTCTCGAGACTCCGCACTGCCGTGGAGTTCAGCACCGGGCCTCCCCCTCCCCGGCCTTCACGCCCGAGCGCCGGGCTGACCCACCGCGGACCCGGCAGGACGGCCCGTAGACGTCCTGCGCATGTGCGCGGCGGACCCGCGGCCTATTGGGTGGTGACAGCGTGCTCTCCGACCAATCAGAGGACGCCCTCCGCCCACGCTCTCCCCGCCCCACCACCCGGGCTGCCAGGCCGCACTCCAGGAGCACAGCTGCCCACTTCCAGCTTTTCCATGGCCATGACCCCAGCGTTCCCCCGATCCCGAAGAGATCCTACCTGGCGCTCCGTGGCAACCTCCGTGGATTCGCAGGCTTCCACCTCGCCTAGATTTCTCCTTGGAAGAAGGTACTGGAGACCCTCGTTCAACCCGTTAAGTGCCCTGCGGACTTTGGGGGGCAGACATTTACTGAGAAGGTAACTATGTATTACCCTGAAGAGTCTGACATGCAAACGAAGGGTGTCCACGTTTGTGGGAGGTGCTCAACCTTCTATTTATTTTGCAAAACAGAACTAGACAGTGGCTTGTTTTTCACAACAGGCCATGTTATTATTATTGAACTGTGGGGTAGGGTTCATTCTGCCTCCACCAGTAGCTGAACTGTCGCGTACTCACTCAATACTAAACTTTATCTGCATGTGTTTTGGTTTCTCAGATACCTGCCAACAATTCAGGACAAGAGCAGTAGTCCTAAATGCTGACTGGAACCTTGGAGCAGTKTGTGGGTAGAGCTTGTTAACTCTTACCTGTCCGGGGGCTTCATCAGGGTGCTATTTTTTGAAGGGCTTCAGTATTTTCTCTGGGACTGCAGATTGTCTGGGAACAATCTTTCAATGGGTGGAGAGCTCTTCCCCAGGTACCTTTACAGGAAGACCCTTCTCCCTGGATTGCTGTTCACCAAGCCTCCTGCTGTGCTACAGGGTAAGCCTAGTTGGACTTACCCAAATGCCAATTAAGTAATTGGCTTCTCATCAATGAGTGACAGTTCCCGCATCTAGCTTCAGAATGCCATTGCCCTTAACACCCTTCCCCATCCTCACACTTGTGCATTTATCTTTTTCTCTTTTTCTTTCTTTCTTTCAGTGCTGAGGATTGAAACCAGGGCCTCAGGCATGCTCAGGGTGCACTCTGCCACTAAGCTATACCACCAGTCTTCTGGATTCAAGCTAGCTGTGATGCCTATGTTTGAGTCGGCCTTTGTCCCAGAAAGTTCAGGTACACTTTTACAGTTACAACTTGACTGGGGTTAAGAGACCAGCCCAACATGACCACAGGGGTTGGAGAAAGGCAAGCCAGATGGAGGAGCCAGTTCTGGTTATCAGAAAAGGTAGATTCAAGGAAGTTGGAGCTGAGGAACAAGAACACAGCCCAAAGGTGAGAAAGAGCTCAAGGAGAGGCTGGTGGGGAGACAGGACACTGAATCCAGCCTAAGGGGTCAGGAGGGCTTAGGACATAAACTGGGTGATCCAGGAAATTCTGCCCAAGGCACAGGAAATACTTCATGAGTGGTCACACACTTGTTCAACAGATGCCTTTGGTCCTTAATCTCATGAGTTCCCTGGAAGTACCTCTGTGGCAGGGTGGGGTTTGTCTGTATTTCACAGCTTTGCAGACTGAGTTCATACAGGAGGGGTGGGCAACAGTACAGGGGCCTACAGAGTATCAGGAGGCTTGGGGCAGTAGGTGGGTATGGCCCAAGTACAGGGGCCTTCAGAGTATCTAGAGGCTTCAGGGCAGAAGATGGATATGGCCCAAGTTGTGGGTAAGCAGGACAGCTGGGTCTTATGTTCTTTGAGTATAGGAGATGACTGCAAAGTCTTAAGGTGATGGGACTGGTGTACCTACTGGGCTGGAGTCAACCTTGCTAGGATACCACATATGGCTGTCCCAGCTGTGCCTTAGCAGGAGTACATATTCTGTCCCAGTTTCTCCACTCCCCCCCCCCCCCATTGACTGGATCCCCAAAGGCTCATCTCCCAGGAGAGCTGTTGCTCAGGGGAAGGCCAACCCCACCCAGATCTCCTTGTTTCCTCCACCAACCTGCAACCACCAATGGGACACAGGTGTCTTAGTCCCACACTGGGCTGCAGACAAGCTGCATATTCACCCTGTACTTTCTCTAGGGGGACTTGGGTTGAAGCTCTGTGACGAAGACACCCTGCTGACACATCTGTGTTATGTGTGTTTAATACTGTCTGCATTGCATTAGAGTGAAACAAGCACCAGGCTATTATTGTTCACAATGTTTAAAAAGAAACCTTTACTAGGAAGACATCTGAACACCCCTGGAGCCAAGAGAAGAGGCTGAGGCCATGGACTTCCACATGCCTGTACACAAAATTATGACTTACATCCATTTCAAGTTGTAAATGCTATCGTTTTGGGTCCCACCCCCCCTTTCTTCTCTGGGTTAAAAAGACCATTGCCTACCCTGGCAGTGAAGCCCCAGATCAGGAGAGGGCCTGGTCTGCTTAACCATATAGGAGTCAAATGGCCCCGCTCCATCCATCTGTCCTCAGCATTAAGGGGCATTATACTGGGGACGGTGGCTTCAGAAGAAGGCTGAACATTACATAGGCTTAAGTAACGACAAGTCCTTCTTGTTCAGCTGTTTGTCCACTTTCCAACCAAGGTAGAACAGRTCATGTAGCCACCAAACCCAACAAAAATAAGCAGCCCTGTCTTGTTTCCTCTGCAGTTCTTATCAGTGCTTTGGATGTAAAGATTCCTCATTAAAAAAAAAAAAAAAATCCTCATAACATTGACTTTGGTAACAGGAGCTCGTGACAGAACGAAGATGAGAATGTGAATGAGTGCTGCTGGGAAGCCAGCGTCCCTGCTCTGTCTTTCCAAGGCTGACAGCCACATCCCCTCCCTCAGGGCTGCACTGCCTGTGAGTCAGCTGTGTGGCCAGGTCAGACCCTCAGGCCTGGCTGACTACATTGAGGCCTGGGGGCTGAGGTATGTGAAACTGAGCCAGTCCCTCGGCTTCTAGTATCAGCTCTGTCCTGGGCAACTCGCTTTTCCTCTCTGTGTCTCAATTTACTCATCTTTAAAGTGAGCAAACTAGCACAGGGTTCATGGGCTGACAAGAGGAACTTCCCCACATCTAGAATGGGCTGGTACCCACCTGAAGAGCACCCTCTAGGGGCCCAAATTTTTTCCTCTTTTTCCCAGAGAAGGTAGTTGAGGCTTAGAGCCCAACTACTTGCCCAAGTCCTACATCCTAACTCTCATTCCTCTGTAGCCTCCTATTTGCTGGGTCAGATCCGAAGCAGCTCTGGATGAACTGAGGCCTGGGCACGGGGGTGGGAGAGGGAGATGTCCCCAGCTGCCAGTTTCTGTGAAGACTTCTTCATGCCTGCACTTCTCCTCCCCACCTTAGCATGAGTCATGAGACGGTGAAAAGGCATCAGCATGCAGGGCTGCCTTTTTTGGCACCAGGTCCATCCTCCTGGTGTCTCTGCATAGGACCTCTTTGAGGACACAGGTGTATCCCAGAGCTGAACTGGCAAATCTTGTCACTGTGTACAAATGGAAGCGCGCCAAAGAATCTTCCTGGTGCCTGGTTAGCACGYGTAGGGCTTCTCCCCATTGTGGGCCTGCAGTGGACACAGGCCTTTAGCTGTGAAAGGGATTCCCAGAAGGTTGGGGAAGGGTAGAAGTGTGCCCTTAGGACTCGGCAGGCATTAGGGCCGTGGGTGAACCTGAGGAAGGAGTGGCTTTGGCTTCCTTCCCATGTACACCTTCTGAGGAGGTCTCCGAAGGAGACCTGGCCTGGGCACGCATCCCGGCCCTGGGTCGCCTCAAGGCCTTCTCACCAGTATGGATCCTCTGGTGGTGGAAGAGGGCTGGGCGCTCGCGGAAAGCTCGGCCGCACTGTGTGCACACAAAGGGCTTCTCTCCTGTGTGGATGCGCCGGTGGCTAAGCAGCACGGCTCCCTTGGCAAAGGCCTTGCCACAGTCCCCACAACGGAAGGGCCGCTCACCTGTGTGGAGTAGCTGATGCTGTGTGAGATTGGAGCTGTGGCTGAAGGCACGGCCACACTGCGCGCAGGCGAAAGGTTTCTCACCCGTGTGCACCCTCTGGTGCTTAAAGAGCGAAGAGCCCTGGCTGAAGGCAGCACCACAGAGTGCACAGGCATAGGGCTTCTCACCCGTGTGTGTGCGCTCATGCTGGATCAGGTGCGAGTTGCGGCAGAAGCGGCGGCCACACTGGGCACAGGCGTAGGGCCTCCCGCCTGCGTGGATCTTGCGGTGCTGGCTGAGGTTGGAGCCGTGGCTGAAGGCCTTGCCACACTCGCTGCAGTGGAAGGACTTCTCCGCTGTGTGGATACGTTGGTGCCGCACCAGTGAGGAGCTGTGCCGAAAGGCTTTGCCGCAGGCAGGGCATGCATAAGGCGTCTCGCCACTGTGGATGCGCTGGTGCTGTGTCAAGTGTGATGTCTGGCTGAAGGCCTTGCCACACTGTGCACACTCATAAGGACGCTCACCAGTGTGGGTGCGCAGGTGCTTGAGGAGGTCTGAGCTCTTCACAAACACTTTGCTGCATGCCCTGCATTCAAAGGGCTTCTCCCCAGGGAGCAGACCGGGAGCAGCATGGAGCGCCTCGCCCAGCTCTCTCCAGGTTGGGGCCTCTTGGGCACCCATGAGTCTCTGAGGCTCAGGCCAGTTTGTGTCCATTCCCCGTTCTCCCTCACTGCAGATGGTTCTGAGGTCTGGATCGCTCCGGAAGGCTCTGGGGTGAGCTTGCTGCACATGTGGCTTCTGTAGCTCCGCCATCTGTGGCAACTTCCCTGGAGCGGGGCAGTCTGTAAGGACTTTCTCTCTAGACTGGTCACTCTCAGACGCCCTCAGTGGGGAGGTCAGTCGCAGGCTGATGCTGGCTTTACCACTGCCTGAACCTAGCAGGAGCCTCTCCCAGTAGATCACTGACACACCTGTGGGTTTTCTCTCTCCAGATGAGAAGGCATCCCGTTTTCCCACCAGGCTGGGACTAGTAGGTGTCTCAGGGGAGCTATGCAGGAAGGCCCCTGGCAGTGTCGGTTCTCCAGAAACATCTCTGTCCTCTGCCAGACAGCAGGAACCTGAGGGTAGAGGAATGATGGCTGCCTGGGGCATCTAGCCAGGATGTGACCAGAGCAGGCTGCTGGGAAGGCAGGGGGAACCCAGGGGATGGACGAAAAAGCCTAGGGAGAAAAGCGGAAGCCTACGCGGGCCCTGCAGGAAGCGGGTGGAAGAAGCATCTGCCCTGACAGGTATGGCATTCAGTGTATCTGCACCCCCATGGTCAAGAGGAAAGCCCCAGACAACCAGATGTGGGAGTACAGAGAACTCAGCATCTCTTACCTACCACCTAAGCCTCTGCTGGCTATCCCTACCACAGACCCCTCCCCACAGTTCATCCCCCAGCCTGCTTTTTCTCCTTGCTCCGATTTGTTTCTGAAGCTATAGACAATTCATGAACAGTTTACTGACTGCCTCTCCCCTAGCATCAGCCCCAAAGAGCAGGACAAGGAGTATCCTCGTCAAGGTTGTGTTCCCAGGACCTGGAACAGGCCTGGCCAGAGCAGGCACTCGAGCTACATCTGGACACATGAATGAAGGGAGGAAGGAATACCCAACAGATGTAACAGCTAGATGTGGAGGTCTGAAGCAAGCTGTACCACCCAGTTGAAGGAAGAACTCTGAACAGGTCTCACCACAGTCAGGTGACTTCCTGCRTGAAATCAGATCCTATGTTTTTAGACCCAGGCCACAGCCTCCAAGACAGGATGATGAAAGAAGGGAAAAGAGGCAGATGGGCAGCCAGAGGAGACAGTATGTCTACAGGAGGGGAGACAGAGGCTGGGCCACCGGTTGGTCCCAAGTTCACCCCTACCTTGAGCCCCAACTCACCAAGGCTGGACTTTCTGTGGGCATTCCTGCCCAGGGCTGTATCTGTCCCACTGGGAACCCAAGGCTCCTCACCATGCTCCAGCTGGATGACCACACGAGGTCGGGAGGCAGAGAGTCCTATGAACAAGGTGGTTCAAGTGAGAGGCCACGTCAAGTCAGGACCACCCATCCCACAGAAGATGGTAGGAGTCAGGGCTTCATGGAAATAGACGATATTATCTGTGCAATCAGGAAAACCTGGGGTCACAACAGGGCAGGGGCTCAGTGGGACAGCTCAAGGATCCCTGCAAGCAGCATATGTGCTGGGGCACCACAGGAAGAGGACTGAGCCCAGGCACAGGAGACTCAGTCAGATGGGGCCAAGGGTAAGATGGAGCAGCCTGCACATCTCCAGATCCTGACCCTTGCCTCATGTGGCGTCTAGCCAGAAGGTCCTACTCTTGGGTGGGTGGGAAGGTGAGATGATAGTCCTGATGACCCAGCCAGGTACCAACTTGGCTTCCCATGGAGGACCCAGGGCCTTACCCAGTGAGGCCACAAGCGCAAAGTTCCCCAGCATCACGTGGCGGTACAGGGCCCTCTGGGCTGTATCCAGGAGCATCCACTCTTCCCGGGAGAAATACACAGCTATGTCCTCAAAGGCAATCAGGCCCTACAACAGCAAGCAGTCTAAGGTATGGCGGTGACTCAGAACTCAGATCCCTGTCCCCATCCTTGGCACTTTCTGAACATTCATGATCTTCCTGGGGTTCTATTCCAGCGCCATCTTCAGGTGGCACTTCCTCCACCCATCTGGGCCCCCTTCCTTCCACCTTTCCTGTTCAGGCCACAGAAGCGCTCTCAGCCTCTCCCCTGGCTAGTTTACACAAGCAAGTGAGCCGTCCTCATGGTTCTTGGCTGGCATCCACTCAACCCAGCAAGACCACTCATGACCCTACCCAAATGTGCCCTTCCTAGGCCGGCACAAGCAACTGTGTAAGTCCCAGCTGTGGATACCCCAGGGTGTGCCCACTCTAGGATTCTCCCTGCTGTGCCCCTGACATTTCCAGGCTGGTCCTGGAAATCAGTTGCCACAGGAGGGTGGTCCCAAGGGCCTGGTGGACACACAGGAAGTCAATACCCTACTGCCCCCTAGCATTGTCCCCTCTATTTCTTCACTCTTTTTCCACCCTCCCCTCCTTCAGCCACCTGCCAGACTCTTGCCCTGACAACTCCAGTTATTCCCAACCATTTTCCTCTCTCTAGGAAACTGAAACTGACCATCCTCCACTGAGTCTGTGAGATCACCCCCTCCTCAGTCCACTTCTCAAACTCTGCTTTGGCTCAGGACACCTACAATGTCAACTTCACTCTCAGACATGGCAAACTCTTGATCTTTCCTCTGTGTGTGTGTGTGGGGGGGGGGAACTTAGGCACTTAGGCTTCCAACTGTGCTTCACTCACAACACTTGCTCATACCCCACACACCTGATACAAACRCAGCTCTACACATAATTGAAACTTCCCCTACAAATCTCCCCATCCAGTCCAGGAGCCATCCTTTGCTCACCTGGGCCGTGGTGGGAACCTTCGCCCTTCATACGGACACACCTCTCCACATCTGTTCTCCACTCAGCAAGAGGTGAGATGCTTTCAAAATCCTAACTGGGAGGACGTCCGGTCTCTCTTCAAAACTTCCCCTGGCTCCCACGCCCTTGGGTAAAGTCCCAACTGCTCTACCTGCCATTTCAGTCCCGCGTCGAGGACGCTGTGCCCCAGAACCCAGGTGTCTCCGCTCCCAGCCTTGGCACGTGTGGGACCTTCTCACACCTGCACGCCTCACGGACCTGACTACCGGGTTTGCAGGGTACCGGTTCCCACCCGAGCAGCAAGAGGGCCCAAGTCGTCTCGGGAAAGTCCTTCCCTCCATGGGGCTCGGGGTCCTCGGAAGGGGTCTCCCTACTCACCGGCGCCGGGTCCGCCAGCCCCCCTGCCGCCGCCATCGGAGTCTGCAGCCGAGAAGGGGCAGAAAGGGTGCACGACCAGGCCCCGCCAACTGCCCGCAGCCTCGCGCAGCCTGCCGGGCCTCGGTCTCGCGGCGGGCCCGGGGCAGGGGGCGCCCGGGAAGCCGCCGCGGCGCTGCGGCCGGGGCCGAGGAGCGCGAAGCTCCGGCACCGCCCACGCGCTCCGGGACACCGAGGCTGGGGAGTCGGGCAGCGGCGGTGCCGGGCGGCACGAGGCCGGTCTTCCTCCAGGACCTTCCTCGCCTTCTCGTCTGGGACCCAGAGGCTCCGGTGCAGCCGGCCCCGCCTCTAGGGTACCCTCCGGAGAGCCGCAGTGGCCTGACGCCAGGCAGCCGGGTGACAGTCCCGGGCGCCGGAAGTCGGCCCGGCCCCCAGGGGCAGGCGCACGTGGCGGACGCACGCGCAGAGCCCTCTGGGTGCTGTAGTTCCCAGGGCCTGGCCGCGCGGGAGCCGCGGGTCCGTTCTCCAGGGCCACGGCGGGCGTCCTTCTCCCGAACCCCGCCGGCTGCCCTCGGCGCAGGTTGGGCTGCTGGCCGGGCCACCCGTGCCGAGGAYCCCCGGGTCCCAGAGCGCAGCGAAGCAGCCCCGAGACTCAGCCTTGAAGATGCCAAAGTGGAAAGTTCCGAGGGTCCATGGGGAGCCACCAGCAAGGGGCGCAAAGGAGAGAATGTAACGCGGAGGGAGGGTGCTTGAGAGCCAGAGGAGTCTCTGCCTAGAGTTCAGACTTCAAATGTGACCATTTCCTGACCATTTCCTGCTGTGCGCCCCGAGGAGAGGTTTGGACTTCTCTGTGCGTGACTGTGGTGTCGAGACCTATTGGTTTCGCCACCTCTACACCGAGAATTGCAGGTCCCTAGCCTAAATCTTTCTTGATTCTGGAATTGTTTCTAGGCGCTGGCCCAAACCATCCATTTTCCTTGTAGACTTGGATTTCAAAAGTACTCTCCCAGTCTTACTTGTCCGTTAGGCCCTCTAGTGCTTGCCTTACCCCACACATCACAATGTTGATTTCCTTTTCTCTCAGACCAATTAACACCAAGGCAGGATGCTCTCAAGGCAGACTGACACTGTTTCTGGCAGAGAATAAAAGGTTTTGTCTTTTAAAAGAGCCCCACAAGGGGGTCAGGGTTGCAGCTCAGTGGTACAGTGCTTGCCTTGCCCTGTGAGGCACTGGGTTTGATCCTCAGCACCACGTAAAAATGAATGAATGAATGAATGAATAAAACGAAGGTTAGAAAAAAGAATGCTTAAAAAAGAGAGAGAGCTCTCCAGTCTGGGCATGGTGGCTCATGGTGGCTCATGCCTATAATCCCAATGACTCAGAAGGCTGAGGCAAAGGAACCTAAATTTCAAGGCCAGCCTTAGAAACTTGGTGAGRCTCTGTCTTAAAAAATAAAAAGGGCTGTAGCTGTACTCGGTGGTAAACCGCCCATGGGGGTTCAATCTTCAATACCAGAAAACAACAAAAACAGAGTAGTTGCAAGCCCTGGCACCATGCTGAAGGATTCTATGTCCTTTACCTGTCACTGAGGAAACCCTGCCATTACCACACCCATTTTCACACTGGAGAACATGAGCCACATGTTCTGGAGCTGACCATTGGCTGGGGTGAGATGTAAACCTACACCTATATGCCTTTAACCACTTCACCATCTCAGGACTTACTTTCAATTCAGCTTTAAATAAAAGAAATGGTTGTGTGCAAAGTGCAATGTCGGGGAGTTAATAAGCTCTCAGTAAGTATTAGCTATTGCCTCACTACTGTTCAAGGTAGGTTTGATTGAAGCACGAGAAGGGCTTCTTGTGTCACTGGCAGGGGAGGGTGTTCCCAGCACAGGGCAGTGCACCCGCCAGGTCTTTATTTGTGTGTGGTGCTGAGGATCGAGCCCAGCGCTCCATGCATGCCAGGCGAGCGTGCTACCCCTTGAGCCACATCCCCAGCCCCCAGCCTGGGTTTTTAAAGTGGGAGAAAGGTTGGGTCTGGCCAAGGGGGCTTCATGAGTGAGAAAGGGAGCCTGGGCATGGGAGTGCTGTGAGGTATTGGAGTCTACAGGCCCCTGAGGAGTTAGATTTCATCCTAGGGCCAGGGCAGGTAAAGTCTGCAGGAGGTGTGAGAAATGGAAAGTTTGGGTTGTCCATTTTCAAAATATAGTATTAAGGCTGGCCCAGTAGGGCACGCCTATAACCTTGGGAGGCTGAGCAGGATGGTGAGTTCAAAGCCAGCCTTAGCAACATAGCAAGGCACTTAGAAACTCAGATCTTCTCTCTAAATAAAATATAAAGGCTGGGGATGTGGTTCGGTGGTTAAGTATCCTGTATTTCTAACAATTTTGGCACCTAAGGTGGGGATCCATTCATCACCTAGGGAGTCCTAGGGACTCCTGCCTTAGAGGAGATGTCTTACGATCTTCTTGTGGCCTCAGAGTGGGGGGCGAAACCTGAGATTCCTGAGGCCAATAGGGGACTCAAAATAAAAAAGTGGATCAGCAGGTTGGGGCTGTAGCTCAGTGGCAGAGCGCTGGGTTGGATCCTTAGCACAACATAAAAATAAAGAAATAAAATAAAGGCATGCTGTCCGTCTACAACTGAAAAAAAAAAAAAAAGTGGATTAACAACATAGAGAAAGGGCCCTAGCAAGCATTCCAGTGAAGACCAAGGTAGGAAAATCTGTTCCCCAGGAAGAAGCGCCTCCCCAGTGTCAGGACATCTGGAGGCTGTGTGAGTGTGATTGAGATGTGAATGCAAGTCCAAGGAGCTGGATGGGGGTGGGCAAGAGATCCCCAGTAAAAGGGATTGAGCAAATGGGGGGGTGGGATGTGTAAGATACCTCCAGTAAGGGGGGTTGTTATAGGAACCTACAAGAAAAGAGGGGATAAAAATTCTAAGCCTAGAGACAAGGAAGGACAATGGAAAGAGTCCATGTGAAGTCTTCTTTTCCTTTGAAGAGTCCTAAGTAGGGGAAATAAACAGTGGTGATGGCGGGAGTAAACCTGTCCCCATGCAGGATGAATGGCCACCTGAACATTTGATTTTAGAATCCATCACGGCTGACAGACTCTATTCCTAATGTTCCCACCTGCTCTTTTCATGTGTAAGTCATCGTGTAAAAATCTGTGACTGGCTCTATTTTAATTTCTGAAGGGTTAATTTTATTTTTTTGCCTTCTACCTGTATGAATTTAATACCCGGTAAAGAGCTACCAAATCTTTGTTTCTTGTCTGTTGTATGAGTACTTGTGCATTCCTGGATAGTGTACACTGTGCCTATGTATGTGCTTCTAATTATGTACATAGTATCAAAATTGGCTTAGAGATAAATGAGCACTCATGTGATGAATGGATCCAAGTGCCTTTCAGTTGACCTGACTTAAATAAAACTTTAACAACAAGGGTCAATCTAAGTTGGCAAGAGTAAAGATGTCTTTGAGGGCTAGGGTTGTGGCTTAGTGGCAGAGTGCTTTCCTAGCATGTGTGAGATTTTGGTGTTCAATTCTCAGCACCGTGTATGAATAAATAAAATAAAGGTCCATTGACAACTAAAAAAAAAAAA